GTCCCAAGGTGGATAGATCTGCGGACGGAACTCTCTGGGGGGGCAAACGGCTCCGTGTGTACGTCCTATACGATAATTTCCTGATAACGATGAAGCCATAGCCCCGCCTCTCCCCACCTCTGCTGCTCACTGCTGTAGCATGGTCAGTAGCTACTGCTACTGCTACTGACCATGCTACAGATGTTAGTGCAAAATCTACAGCTCCTCTACCACAACCATCAGCAACAAGTGGACATGGAGAACTACATGAACTACATGTGGCTAAATCCACCGCGGAAAATAAACAGAAGGGCAACCAGGCAACCATGGCAACCATGCTCGGGGGGTCTTCTTCGCAGCTTTTGGTGTATTTTGTGGCGGAAGTACAGCGCAACTTACAGGCCCGGCATATGTACTACATTACATTACATTACATTGCATTTACCTGACGCTTTTATCCAAAGCGACTTACAATAAGTGCATTCGACCAAGAAGATACAAACTTGAAGAAAACAGAATTATATAAGTACATCAGGTTTCATAGAGCCAAAACATTTCAAGTGGTATTTAACTGGCTTTAGATAAGCCAGTCCTTTATTAGTATATAAGTGCTTTGTTAGTAATTATATCGCTCAAAGTGGAGTAGAAAGAGATGAGAGCGTCTACTACAGCGTCTCCAGCGGGTCGAGCAGTCTCGTGTGAAGGGACACGTTTATTGAGCCATATCCGTGTGACTTTTTTGATATTGAATTTGGTTCGTTTGCGTTTTGTTTGCGTTCCCGTATAAATGGGTATATCATGAATAAATTGGATATGGTGTGTCTATGGAGCTGAATTCAAGATTTGTTTTAATACTATTGCCAATTTCGCTTATGGCTCCAGTTCTTAATCCATTCCCTAATTGACTGAATTAATTTTTTGCGTGGAAAGATATTTTACCCATTTTTTAGTCTGAATACAGTGGAGAATGTCTGCCTAATAACATTTGAACATTTCATTGGGATGGGTATTTTCAGTATATTCAACTTTAGAGTGGTGTGTTCATAACGTACCCATTAGTGACCTTTTCGGCACTTTGCAGAACTTCCCTTTTAATAACTTTGCTGTCCTTATTCTTCTTCACAACTTCCTTAGTTGTTTTGCACCCCAATCATAGCTTACACTCAGGCTCAACAAACGGCATTAGCTCGCATGCTACTTCCGCAAATCTTGAAGGAAGAATTGTTTTAATGTGTAACTGCCAGAATAACATGCTGGCATCGATTTGATCAGGAATTGATTATCTCAAAGGAAAACAGTTCAGATGTATCATTCAGTTTGGAACCAGTTTTTTACTGAAAGCCAATTAATGAATCCAATACCAGAGGTATCCAAATTGTTTATCTTTCCAACTTTGGAAATAGTGTTAAAAATGCAGAAACAATGTGATTTAGTGCTTAATCAGACAAGAGATGATTTGTTTCAGCATGATAATACATTTCGATTAAAGCATTTATGTCTTCCCGCATATTTAGCAAAAAAGAATCTGTGATACTTCGTTATATTACTTATCCACTGCTTGTTTTTTGTTATTCTTATTGACAGTAATGGTGGATTATTCATAATCAGACTGCTACTGTATTATTCAGTGCACACAACACTAAAAATATCTTCCAATGAGTTATCTTTCAGTATCGTCTAAAGCACATTTAATGATCAAATGATGAATTGCTATATGTTTACTTTACCTTTATTCTGATCTCTTGTCCAAACACAACAAAATTAGAGTAGCAGTCATACTAAAATGGAAACACAGCTATGATAAAAAACAAAGGATATGATGCTGGAGGAATATGGCCTCATTTCCCATATATATATATATATATATATATATATATATATATATATATATATATATATATATATATATATATGTGTGTGTATGGGAAATGGTTACCTAGAAATGAGGCCATATATATATATATATATATATATATATATATATATATATAGGGGTTACAGCTTTAATTTAAGATTTTACTGGGCACTGAAGTACACCAGAAGGACAAATCTTTCAAGTCAAATGCAGCCTTTGTATCTGGACTTTGGTCTTACTATGATAAATCACCACTAAGGTGGAGTGAGCTAACATGCCTGCCTGCCTGGCCTGGCGATACAATATTGGCTGTCTCTCCACTATTTCCTCTTTATTGCTCTGCAGCTCACTATCTAAAACTAATTTCAACCCTGCAGTCGTCCAACTTGGTGGGGATATTAAATGGTTCTCTTAAAGCAGAGTTAGACTGAAATGTCTCTGAATTAATTTCTGAATGATTATCGTACAAAGACCAGACTTATGAGCAAACTAATGTGCTAATAAGTATGTTGCAATTAATATTCCATCAACTATTTATGTTATATATTATTACCCACTATCAGTCACATATAAATGTGCATTTGTAAAGGGATTTAGAACAAGTTTGTCCATAAAGAATGGATCACATGAATGAAACTGCCTTTGTGGACAGGTTTATCAATCATTCAGCCATCTTATCACCTTTATAACAGACAACAGCCACAAGCTGACAGTCACTCTCTTATCACACTAATCCAGATAACTTCAGTACTGAGCCCGTGAAGGCAGCAGGGATAAATTAGTTTACTCCTACAAAGATTGGATTAAAAGCCAGGAGTGGGCCTCGACCCCCTGGCCTCAAAGACAACAGCCCCAAACTGCTCAGCTTTAATGAGCATGTCAGCTTAAATGGAAATAAATAATTAAAGAAAACAGGATTTAGCTCTTTTTTGGTTTTTTAAATGCCCACCCTTTATTTTAGACACAACTAATGGAAATACCCATCTGCAAACTTTGATTTATACCACTTATGCAAGAACTATATATTCACAATGACTCAACTCCCCTGCCATGCAGCAGCATTTTTATTTGACAGCTGACTCAATATTAATCTGGTGCAGGTTAAATGTGATCCTTGGAGCCCAGTGTGCTTTTAATCCCTAGAGAGTTCACCTCTCATGTGCGCATCGTGTTATTGAAACAGCAGTCAGAGCCTTTTGTCTGTCAACCGCTTGAAATTGAGCTCTAGATAAAACGGCTTATATTTTGAGATACATGTATTGCACACAGCCTCAACATGCTTAATGCCAACGCACAACTACGAGTCCCCACTGCAGCTCTATATAGACAGTCTAGAAGCAGAGAGTTAGCACACTGCAGTGAAGGACTCACAAATTAATACAGAAGCTCGGCTATCACACAGTGACAGGCCCCTTTAGAAGCTGCAAGGCAACCTTTCGATGGACGAAGACATAATATGACAGGTAAACAAAACTACAACCTGTGCAGACTGAAATAAAATGAACGGATTAGGGCCAACTCTGCTGAGACACAGTGAGCCGCAACTCACCCGATACATAATTTAAAGTTTAAATTGGCATATGGGTTTTAGTAGAAGGAAGAACATTACCTCTCAACGGGGTGTAAATGTGTTCTATTGAAATTGTTCACAGTGGGTGAAGGCACCAAGGGACAGTGAGATAGGGACAAAGTGAGTCTATTCTGACAGCTACTTAACCTCCAGACAGGTCGGTTTCACAGGAAGGGTAACCTCATTTAATTCCACATGGCCTGTGGCAAGTGTCCAAGTGTTTGTTTAAGGGAGGGGGAGAAAGGAAAACCACAGGAAAGGGTAAAGGTGATCACAAGACAAATAGAGCGTAGGACAATCAAAGAAGGAAAGAAGAAAGAAAGAGAACATTCACAAAATATAACAGCAGTATTCCTAGCAACAGCGAAGGGGCTGTTCTACCCTGAGCTGCAATGACTTCCTCATTCTTTCGTATTCAAGTCCATCCTGTGCCTCACCTCCCTCACTCCCTCCCTGTAAAGCTAGATGCTCTGAGTTTCAGCAGAGGGAGTGGGTCATATGGGCAGGAACAAGATTTGCAACTGTATTGCATTGTAGTGACAGTTTTGTAAACACAACACCTTCCGGTTATTGCAGAGCATTTGTGAGGTTTCATGTTTTGCTACAGCTGGCCTTATTGAAAAGGACCTGCATCACTGTGCAGGAAACCCAGGATCTCCCAACTGAATGGGGAAACACCCTCAGGGAGGGGAGAAACGGCAGGCTGGGCTGGAGAGTCTGACATCATTCAAGTGTGGGCTTCCATGTTTCTGTGAAGTCTCCTATGTGTGAGTGCATGAATAAACAGTGAGTATCTGTGTCACTACACAGTAGTGTGTACACACACACACACACACACACACACACACACACACACACACACACCACACACACACACACACACACACACACACACACACACCACACACACACACACACACACACACACACACACACACACACACACACACACACACACACACACACACACACACACACACACACACACACACACACACACACACACACACACACAAACACACACACACACACACACACACACACACACCTAAAGCTGCAGCCTAAAAGCTGCTCACAACACACAACCTCATTGCAACAGAACAAAAAATTCAGTCGGTTATCAAACCAACCCCAACAGTCCACTGCTGCAGAAACAACCCCACACCTTAAACGAATGGCATTCAACACTGGCTGGGAAAAAATATGTCTGCAAAGTTGAAGGACGCGAGAGATATGAGGCTTTGTGGGAAAGCAGAGTGTCTGAAGGCTGGTTACTGTAAACGGCGGGGCCAGTTTTGATGGGCTTCAACCAGCGCTCCCCCCAAAAAAACTGCATTGCCTCTGTCAAAGCTCTACGTCCCATTGTGGATTAAAAGAACCACACGGCACCGGGTTGAGATACAAATCATGACTCATCTAGTGCCTCACCTTTCCGTGAAGCGCAATCTGAAGAAAAGATATGAACGAAAAAAAATCTTGAGGCTAGTTAGCTTTACTTCCTTAGCCAGCCCAGCCGCCACCGCCGCTTTCTCTCCGGTCCAGCCTGCCTGCCCCGGTCCTACACCTCTCCCCGTGCACACACGTCCTGGGACTTACCGGTCTTATGTGCTGATGATGTCGCTGTGAAGAGACAACAAGTGCGGGGAGGCTGCCGGCCGCCGCTCCGCTGCTCCGGGACAACAGGAGTACTGATCTGCACACTTTCGCAGCCATCTCTGTAGTGAAACCTCGCTGTGAAGGAGACTGCTGCGGGCGGACCGAGACGCACCGAAGGGAAGAGGGAGGGTGGTGGGCGGGTTTGCGGGGCTGGACTACGGCTTCGTTGTACACATGCCCAGTGTTGCACCAGTATGCAAAGATAAAACCACTTTTGTGCTGGCTAATTCAAAACAGGTGACTGCATGTCATTTGTCGCAACAACAAACCAACACCATTCAGCTACTCTAATGAAGGTCACAAAATGGGATTTTACATACATGTTTAATAGAAAGGAGGATTTAACATGATAGTGTAATATGACAGTGGTTCTATGTGGTCTGTTTGGATTGTACAAAATAAAAGTGTAATTTCACAACATTTCAGTTTCTGATCTCAAGAACAGAGTGAAAGAAAAATGAATGAAATCACTGCTTCCTGTCTCAACACTATCTCTACTACAATCTCTTTATACATTTCTCAATTACTCAACAAATGAGGGGAACCCTAGGTAGGTGATAGAAGGTATTAAAATTACACAACAGGATATTTTTTAGAAAGTAGCCTATTGGTTACCACATTATCACACCTAATAGTAAAATAAATGTAGGCTATTAAAATACGCCTGTAAATAATAATTGAGTTTCTCTGTTTAAGTTACTTATTCATACCTGTCTGTAAAGTAGCCGTGTGTATACTTGGATAACCACATCTACAATAACACTTACAGAGCTGACACTGCAAATGTGTCTATACAGAAAGACTTGCTGTCAGGGGGCCCACCATATTTCTCCATAATTATGTCTAATATTAGCTTGTCCTTCGGTCACTCTTGTGACTGTGTCCCAAAAGAGCAGCCAGCAGGGTCAAATCTAATTGCATGGATCTTTAGTGACTTTTAAACAGCATGGTCTTCTTTGTAATGTACAAGGATTTTAATGAATTTTAGTGTTTCTGTCCCCAAATGGCAGAACATGAAGGTAAGCGGTCAAGTATGATGATTTTTGTCTTTTCCAGAATCACTCAACCATTGTAGATGACGGTAATATGAGTGGTAATGGGTTTGTTAGGTCAATGAATATCAAGGAGACTCCCCACAGTGGAATGTCACATGTTCTCCTTAATCTTTAACCAAACCTGTAATATAATGCTGCCTGCCACACCTGTATTGGTCAAAGTAGAAACCAGATAGCATACAGTAACTCTCACATTGTTATTATAAAGGCCAAACACATTTTGAGACTTTCACTGAAGCCCAGACTTTGATGAATAAGAAATAATATTAAAAAAAGATAGATTTGCTTGTTTTGTTGTTGCTTGTGTTTGTCTTATTTTTGTTTGTGAAATACAATACAGTATTAATATATAATTTCTTCAGAACTGATCCCTTCTGTACTTCTTCAGGTGCAGTGCATCAGGCTATGTGGGCGATCCAATTTAAATGTAAATTCTCAGTCATGGACAAGTACCTGCGCAAGGCCTCCAGGCTACATCGATTCACAAAGCGAATCTTTGTGTAGTGCAAAATACTACTAGCACTTGTTTTCATAAACCTTTACAGTACTACTGTATGTACACGGGACAGTATGTGCAAATGGCGTATCGGTAGTGTAAACAAAATACACTGCAGTCAGTCAAGTGAGTTCTGCATGATAACATTGTTGAATCAGTGCAATTAATGAGACTAAACTTAGCATAGTTACTTATCAGAATCTCATTGTCTGAGCTTGTAAGATCCTTATGTGAGCTACAAAATATACCACCATTTGTTCTTATATCACACTCCTTTCAGGGGCATCTTAACATGATAAATGAAAACAAAAACAGAATTCAAGTAAAAGTAATACATCTTTACACACAGTTCTAACTGCGAAACTTAAAATAAAACATACAAATGTAACTCCATAGAGACAGAAAAAAAATGAATTTAAAAGAAAAATAACTGCTTAAAAAACTCTCTGTACCCATAAAGGTCATAGATGAAAACCTTGAGTAAAATAAGAGGTGTGTATGCATCAATCAATCAATCAATGTTTATTTATATAGCCCAATATCACAAATGTTACATTTGTCTCAGTGGACTTCACAGTTTGTACAGCATATCAGTATGAAAATACGACACACCCTCTGTCCATAGACCCTCACATCGTACAAGGAAAAACTTCCAGAGAAACCCCACAGTTTAAAGGGGAAAATGGGAGAAACCTCAGGGAGAGCAACAGAGGAGGGATCCCTCTCCCAGGACAGACAGACGTGCAATAGATGCCGTGTGTAAATCGAAGAGATAATACATTTTACGGCGTAGGTTGACCAAATGTTTGGAAATGCATGTGTCTACTCTATCATAAGAAGATGAATCCATGATGATGTCAACAATCCTGTGGGAGCCATCAGGGAAGTAGTATGATGAGAGTCAGGCAGGACCGCAGAGACAGGTTCAGCCACGACTCGAAGTCCAGGACTCAGGATAGAGGATCCAGGACACAGGACCACAGCAACAGGATCAGCCTCGACTCAGGATCCCGGCATAGATATAGACACAAAAAAGAAATTTGGGGGAAGCTGGGTTAATCGGAACATGAGAGTACACAGGTACAGATAGACAGAAGGAAGAAGTAAGGTGTCCCCCGACAGTTCAAGCCTATAGCAGCTAAACTAACGTGTCTACGTACATGCACTCCCTTAGGTTGAGGGAAAAGAGTAGTAGGTAAGAAGTGGAGAGGCACAACGTATCTACGTACATGCACTCCCTTAGGATAGGTTGAGGGAAAAGGGTAGCAAGTAAGAAGTAAGAAACAGAGGTGGAGAGGCACACGCAGGGAGAAAGGTCCCCACTGGAACCTTAATTGGAATTGGTGAGAGGTAAGGAGGTACGCTGTGAATACGGTCTAAACACTCACCCCGACCGGAATAGGCCTCTCTGCAACCTGTTACCCTCTAATACAGTGGTTCCCAACCTGGGGGGCGCGCCCCCCTTGGGGGGGTGCCAAAGATCGCAGGGGGGGCGCCAGGCCTCAGATGATTTGAGGCCAAATATCATATTTATAAAAAAATTAATTAAAAAAATTTAATTTTTTTTTTTTTACATATAATTGTAACGCAATACATGATTGTCACTAAAAGCCTTGTCTCTACATTACAATAACATATACAAAATAGTTGATTAATTAATTTGAATACAAATTCAAGTTAGTAGCTATTATAGGCATAAAAAGACAGAAATGTATAATTCTTTCTTTGATAGAAATGTTTCTTCTGCCCGTAAAGTGTCCAAACCGGGCTTGTCTGGATAAGCGCATTTTTAAAACATAGTCATTGTCCATGCCGGTTTCAGTTGGATTATTTGTCACAGTTGCTCCGATCAGATCGGTCTCCTCCATTTTGTAGATTTACGACTTTTGAATCACATCGGCAAAATCCGGCTTACTTTGAGCATGTGTTTTAAACAGTTTAACCCCTTTGTGAATTGTTTCCACTTCTGCGCCGTCCTTTAATTTCTTCATACAGCGGGAATCCAAATTAATTAATCCTGAGTCCAATAACCATCAAAGTCACTCCAATAGTGCTCCTTAATTACGCTTTCATCCTCCTTTAACAAAATACTTCACATTCATCCAGTTTGTGACAGTAGTTGTAGCATTTTTGAGACTTTTCAACTTTAATTACCGCTGCTGTGGTCCCCCCACAGCAGTGGGGGGAACACACTGTGTGTGTGTGTGTGGGGGGGGGGGGGCGCAACTTCCAACAGGAGTCATTTGGGGGGGCTCTTGGGAAAAAAGGTTGGGAACCACTGCTCTAATAGAACCTTGAGAGGTCAGAGAGGGGGAAGGTTTGGATAAAGAGAAAATAGAATAAATAGATTACAGAAATAGAGAGTATGAGAAGTAGAGAGAGAATAGATTTAGAAGAATGAGAAGTAGTAATAACCTTAGTTTTAAATATAAGATCTAAGTTTTTAGGATTTAAGTGAAAGAGTAAGAACTAAAATGTATAGGTGAAGAGGCACAACGTGTCTACGTCAATGCACTCTTATTAGATTATTTTATTTGATCAACTATAAGCTTTATCAAAAAGGAAGGTCTTAAGCGTACTCTTAAAAACGGATGCCGCCCGAACACAAACTGGAAGCTGATTCCACAAAAGTTGAGCTTGATAAGAAAAGGCTCTGGCTCCCATTGTACTTTTAGAGACTCTAGGAACAACCAACAACCCTGCATTCTTGGAACGCAATGCCCTAGTAGGACAGTAGGGTATAATGAGTTCTTTAAGGTAAAATGGCGCCTGCCCATTAAGGGCTTTGTAGGCGAGAAGAATCATTTTAAATTCTATCCTGTGTTCTATAGGGAGCCAGTGTAAGGCAGCCAGAACAGAAGTAATGTGATCCCTCTTCCTAACTCTGGTTAGTACACGTGATGCAGCATTTTGAATCAGCTGAAGCGATTTAACTGACTTTTTGGTACACCTTGATAATAAAGAGTTACAATAATCCAGCCTAGAAGTAACAAATGCATGGACTAGTTTCTCTGCATCGTTTTGAGGCAAGATATGCCTGATGTTTGCAATATTGCGTATAGATGAAAGAAGGCGGTCCTTGAGATTGATGTTATGTGGGCGTTAAAAATCCTGATCAAATACAACACCAAGGTTCCTGACAATGAATGCCATCCATAGTTAGTATATCTTTAGATAATTTGTTTCGTAGATTCTTTGGGCCGAGTACAATATCTTCAGTTTTAGCCGTGTTTAACATCAAAAAGTTTAAGGTCATCCACGTTTTTAAGTCCTTGAGGCAGTCTTGAATTTTATTTAGATGATTGGTTTCATCAGGCTTGATGGATAAATATAGTTGAGTATCATCCGCATAACAGTGGAAATTTACAGAATGATTCCTTATAATATTGCCTAGCGGAAGCATATATAGTGTGAACAAAATAGGTCCAAGCACTGAGCCCTGTGGCACTCCATGGCTAACTTTGGTTTGCATGGAAGATTCATCGTTGACACGTACAAACTGAGAGCGTTCAGATAGATAGGACCTAAACCAGCCTAAAGCAGTTCCCTGTATGCCAACTAAGTGCTCTAGTCTT